AGCCCCAGCGCGGACCCGCTCGCGGTAGGCCAGTCCTGCCTGTCAGGGTCGGCTTCTGCTGCCCCTGGGACCCTCTGCTCATCGCAGCTTCCTGCGTGGTGTCCCTAGGGAGACACGGCAGGCCCCCTGCACAGAGGACGTGCCATGTGTCAGAGCTGTCAGCTAGTGGGCTGCTGGTGCTCTTTGGGTCGTTTCTGGAAGATGTCCTTGTCCCAGCTGTCCGGGGGCTTTCCTGCTCTGAGCATGGCCTGTGGACCCCTGCCTGTCTGCCCTGTGGCGGGTGATGTGCGCCCTTTTGCTCCGTCCTTCCTGAATGTCTCCTTACGCCTTCATATTCAGCTCACAGGAATTAGGATAGAGTTCTATCGCATGATTGTGGGGTAAAAATAAAAAGTGTAAAAGGTTTAAACTCCCTCAAGTAATTACATTGCTTTGTTCTTCCCCAGATACCTTTTGTATGATGTAAATCCTCCTGAAGGATTCAACCTTCGCAGAGATGTCTATATTCGCATTGCTTCCCTTCTAAAGACCTTGCTGAAAAGTGAAAACTGGGTGTTAGTCCTGCCTCCCTGGGGACGACTTTATCACTGGCAGAGCCCTGACATCCTTCAAGTCCGGATCCCTTGGTCTGAGTTCTTCGATCTCCCAAGCCTCAACAAGAACATCCCTGTCATTGAATATGAGCAGTTCCTTGCAGGTAGAGTATAGAATCATACAGTCTACAACTGACTAAATACTTGAGGTGGTTTCTTCACAGGTGCTTTTATATCTGCTTTTATCCTTATATGTGAAATAAAAAAAAGTTAAAGATGGCAAGAGGAGGGATGGGAAAGAATTGATCCGAGTAACAAACCACTAGGATGAAATAACCCAATTATTTGGCAGCTCATTTGGTGTAGCGCTGTTGACACCTCAACTTCCTAGGGACCCCAGAGAAAGACAGTTAATGCCTCTGGTCAAAGTCACAGATGATTCTGCATAATTTTGGCCATAGTAACAACCCTGTAAGGCAAGAGAGGCAGCCTGCAGCTCTCTGTCGAAATACAGACAGGAGGTGGTTGGACAGTAAAAGCCGTACAGTGGGTTCTTTGGTGAACTTGCTTTTTCATCACCGATGCTGCACATACTCAAAATACTTATCCCCTGCTTTTTGTGTACAAAATGGTATAATAGCGAAAGGCTTTCCCTAAGAATACGGAAACTGTGAAGTTTGTTCCTTTAGGATTTAATGCCATGTTGAGCTAATCACCAAATACCAAAATCTGCAGCACTGTCACAGCTTTTTCAGCAAAAGAAATAAAGGCCACCAAATGTCACACCTCTGCAAAGAACTCTGAAGGGAATGTTGTCCCATAGTTTTCAGGAAAAAGCATTTAGAAACCCTGAAATTTAGAGGAAGAAGGGCTTGTGCTTGTCAGTTTTCTTGGAGGTACTCTTCCCATAGCAGCTACCTACATCATTGAAAACCTCTGTGCTTCATGGTGTGTTTTACTCAGCTTTAAATTTACATTTCCATTGCGATTCAGTTTAGATTTGGCACACTAAATCACACATAGCTGGGTGGGAGTAGCAGGTTGTCACATCCCCTGATCCCGCCCCCCTCCCCCCAGCCTTTCTGGCTCACACAGAACTTCCTTTCCTTTTTTACAGGGAAAGCAGGAAAGAGAGAGAGTAGTGTAATTTCTAGCAGATTTTTAACTGCAAGTAATGCTAGTTCATACCTTTTATCATGTGGTTTTTCATGCTCACAAATGCTTTGCTTTGCTTTCTGCTCAGAGTCAGGTGGGCCCTTTATTGGACAGATTTATGTCCTACAAGGCTATGCAGAAGGATGGAAAGAAGGAACATGGGAAGAAAAAATAGATGAAAGACCATGCATTGATCAGCTCATGTACTCCAAAGACAAACATGAGTACTACAGGTAACATCTAGCACTCCTTTCGGTCTTCTTTAGTTGTATTCAATGAGACATTTGCCTACTCTAAAAGAACAGGCGTGTGTCTGAGAATGTCAGGATGCTTAGGGTTCACTTTTTTTTTTAAAACCCCATCAATAATAAAATGTTATATCGGTACTAGAAGATCTAATTTTAGAAAGTTGTTTCACGCAAAAGCAGTATAAAGGGGTTGGCTTGTTTATTTACATTATACATCATCTTTCTAGGGTGTACTGTTTGTTTCATTATATATGGCATTAATGTAAAATACAAGCCTGTGAAGCAACACTTTGTGTTCCCTTTCAGGGGATGGTTCTGGGGTTATGAGGAAACACGGGGCCTAAATATCTCTTGTTTGTCTGTACAAGGATCTGCCTCTATTGTGGCTCCCATCCTTCTGAAGAACACTTCAGCACAGTGAGTTGCCTTGTATTACTGTTTATTGTTGTATTATGTGACCACAAACCCATTGCCAGGAGGGAAGAGCAGGGGGAACTTAGAAGCTATGTCCCACTGTTGTGGTACTTCATCACTGAGTTCTTTTGATCTGTTAAAATCATTACAAAAGGAATTTACGCTGTAAGAAACACCTAACTGTAAGTTAGGTTAAATGCTGCAGTGCTAAAACCTAAGAGGAAATAGCCTTGAGCTCCTTCATGTTCTCTCTCGGGTACCTAAATTTCCTTGCCACCCTGTGTTTACCTTTCCTTCCTTTGCCCTTCGATGCTGGGTCAAAAGGGAACAAACAGTGGAATCAGTGTTTCCCAAGCCCATGTCCCAGATCACAAGGTGCAGTGCCTGGTCTCCTGGGATGTCCATCCTCCATAGTGTGAGCTGCAGTTAAAAAAAGCAAGCAGCATGTTTCATCTCTGTGCTCTAAGGTGCCACTAGGATGATCAGAGGAAAGGAAAGCTCTGATAGGAGAGATAGAACCTTGCTACTGGGATAATGTAAGCATGTATTTCCAGTCAGCTGTGACCCTGTAACAACTGAAGACATCTTAGCAAAGTGAAAGCTACTGGGTTACAGGGGAGAACAGGAAGAGGGAGTAATCACTGTCTATGAATATATCAGGGGAATAAATCCATAGGGGAAACCATGTAAGATGAAGTGCAGTTTTGCCATGAGAGCAAGAACATCCAAAATTTTGACATCAATATGATTTAATTGGAAATGAGATGAAGGTTCCCCTAAGCAGAGCAGTGGGGGATCTGTAGTACCTCCTGCTGGGAGCAGAGGAAGCAAAGTCCTGGTTTTTTAACATGAATGTTGTTCTATTTGTAGGAGTTATACCATAATCTTTGCCAGTCACAGCAGAACACTGGATTAAGTTAGCCCTACAGTTAACTCTTTCATGGCAACTATCAAACATCTGCTGATGAGGAAGGTCAAGAGAAAAATGAGGAGTGGTGCCCAAGTATTCCTAGCATGCAGACAAGGTGCCTTATCCACAAGATCACATTTCTCAATCAGACACACGTAGGAAGAATTACCAACATAACAGCAATGTAAGGGCAGCTACAGTGGTTCATGTTAAAACTAGTGGTTCATGTTAAAGTCTGTCTAGTTTAGTGTGTGAAGTCCAAGAGTGGCTAAAATCAGATGCATGGGGAAAAGTAGAAGAACTGGGCAAGTATGTGTGATGCCTCCCCTGAGTTCTGTCACACCCTTCAGATTTGTGGTTGTAGGGACCTTCTGAGCCAAGTGATCTTCCTATCTTTTATATCCTTCAGTGAGTCCATGGATCTGTGCAAGCTTCCCTTTGAACCCCCCATGCACACTGTTAGCATCCACAAAATCTTGGGACCAGACCTAAAGTTTTCGCACCTTAACTGTGCATCCTAGGGAAATCCACCTCCTTTTATAACTCCTACCTACAAGTTTCACGTAATGTCCCCTGGTTCATGTAGTGGAAGAGAAAGTGAACAAACAGCTCTTCCATATTCACCTCCACACTACGCATGATTTTATATCTCTCTATCATATTCCACCTCAGTTGTCTCCTCTGCAGTGTGAAGAGTCCTGGCTTTGTTACTTGTTCTTCGTGTGAAAGCCATTCCATGCCTTTAGTCATCCTTGCTGCCATTCTTTGAGCCTATACAGTTCAACTGGGTCCTGCATACTGAGTGTGGGTAAACCCATTACAAGTTCTTTTTTTTTTTGACCTCTTAGTGTTGCTTTGATGTTTTCATCAAACTGTCCTCATTCCTGAGCATCGAGGCCTTTAGTTATCAGATGAAGTCAGTATTTATTTTTTTTTCACTAGATGCACTCCTACATTAGATTTCATCTGCCACTTTATTGGCCAGCCACGAAACTTCTCTAATTCTTCACAATTGGCCTTTGTCTTTGCTGATCTGAGCAATTTAAAATGATTGGCAAGCTATGTCACCCCAAAGTTCAATCCCTTTTGTAGGTTGTTTAGGAATATGGTGAAAACCAGATCCCTTCCACTTGTGGTCTCCCTCTACAATGAGAACTGGACATTTATCCCTGCCTTTTTTTTTTTTTTTTTTTTTTTTTTTTTTTTAATCCACACAAGGACCTTCCCTTCTGTGCCATTGCTGTTAAGTTTTCTTGAAAGCCTTTAATGAAGGCTGTTAGGAAATCCTGGCAGGCAATGTCAATGAAATTTCCCTTATCCATGTGTGTGTAGTCTTCAGTAGTCTTCAGACTACTCTGTTCAGAGTTCAGAGCTCCGTGTTGATACTCCTCCAGTTTACTTTAGGTATCCATTAATTCTGTTTTTTATAACAGTTACTATTAAGTTGTCCAGCACAGGCATAATGTTTACCACTATGTTGCATTCCAGACCTGCCCAAGTGCATTTTTAGAAAATTAATAACACATTTGCTGTATTGAAGTTTTAAGCAAGAAGTTGCATACAGAATTAGTGGCACAGCTGCTTCATCTTTCAGTTCCTTGACAATTGTTGGGTGAATGTTGCCCAATGTTGGCCATCTGTGTGTTCATTTTGTCTAGCTGTTCCATCACCGGACAGTTCTATAGACACTTTGGTTTGAGATGCATTGTCTGATGAGTTCCCCCGTAAAAAGTAGTTCCGGCATGTGAATCTTCCCAGATCCTCCACCTAGTGCACAGCTACAAAAAATAACATTAACTGTTCCTGTCATGATGTTACCATCTCCAAGTCCTTGCTAATCCTTTAATTTCCTTTTTCTTTGTATTAGAATGAAGATTTGTCATTGAATTTAAGGCCTCTATTTCTTGTTGGTCAAATTCTTTTTTGACCTTCTTATTGTCTTGTTCTGTTTAACTTCATGGAGTTCATGAGCCTTTCTGTTTTCTTCACTTGGACACTTCTGCATTTTTGCATAGTCCCCTTTTTGAAACTGAATGTGACTGCGGTAACTTTCCCTTGGCCATTGTTGATCCAGTTGGATGTTGAAGATGGCCGCTGTCACACACGAGCTCTTCCACTGTGAGATTTTGGTCTGTGTCTTGCTGCTGCTTGAGATGATGTCAGGAGCTACTCCCTGCCCAGCTGGTTCATGGAACTGTCTTTGACAGTATCTCAAACTGCAGTTGCTTAGTCATGCCCTGCTATGACATTTGCCCAGCCTACCTGGAGATAGTTGAAATCTCCAATGGCTATGATGACATGTGCACCATAGCCTCTCTGATCTCTCACACTGCCCTTTTGGTCAGACAGTCCATTGTATGGTACTGGTACTATATTATTAATCTTCAGGTGTGGTCACTTATAGGAATCTTCCTGATACATTTAGATTATTAATCTGATTCACCTCCAAGCTTCCTGTTAAATGCAGTGCTGCTTCCCCACCAGCACAGTCTAGTCTATTTTCCAGATTATTTGTAGCCTTGTGTGCAAGTGTCCGGCTGATTATCAGCAATGATAATGTAAAGTTGGTTGGTTATTTGTTTCCTCTCATTTTAGTAGAAGAAGGTCTGGGTAATGACTTTGACCCCCTTCAGCAGAAGCATTTCTCTCTGTGTTCGCTCATATTCAGTGTGCTCAGAGCACAAACTAAGCTTACATCCCTTGTGCTCTTGGATACTCAAAACTCTCAAAATATCTTCTGCCACTTAGACCTTGGATAGTGCGGTTATGTTCCCAGTACACAGTCCTGAACTGTGTGTATTTATGAAAAGTACAGGCTATTTTCATGTTAGTGAAAAATTAATTTATGCTTAGTTGCTAACACACGTCTTTGCAGTGTCTATGTCTTCTTTAATCTGTTGTTTTACTGTAGGACATTTTATTCCACATGTGGAAAACACCTTCTCTGGTTTTGCTTTTGTAAGCATGACTCCTGCTTCATCCAAGAGGCTCTCATGTGCTCCAAGGCTGAGCATCATCTCATAGGTCACTTCTCCCCTTTGGATCACTCTCCCGGTTGGCAATCTTACTTGTCCAGCAGCAACTACTGTGAGGACTACATGAGGGATTGTTAATGCTTGCTTGTGTTTAACTTTCAGAATTAAGAGTACCGTTTATTAAGAAAGAGAGCAGGAACACACAGTGGCATAGTTCCCTTCTCTCCCCAGCAGGCTATGGGTCACAATTTGCTTTATACAGAACAGACTGGCAGCCTATCCCTCGTTCCCCATGCTCCCTTTGCAAACAGATCATAGTCTGTGCTTATTCCTAGCAACTGTATAAAGAAACATCATCATGTAAATTCTATTCCTAAGGGAACTGCACTCAGTTTTACAATTTTTAATAGGTCAGTGATGTTAGACAGAGCTGAAAACCTTCTTCATGACCACTACGGAGGGAAAGATTATTGGAATGTGAGTATTTTCCAGTTAGCTTCTCCAGACTTTCTACTTGGTTCTGATAAAAATTCAATAACTGATATGTGCTTCAGTTTTGCCTCAGGTGTCTTCTCTTGACAGTAACTCGTGTCTTATGTTTCAGCAGTGCATGCTAAAGATGGTCTTCAAGCTGCTGCGGATTAATGTAATACAGGAATTTTTCCTGGTGTCTTGTCCCCAAAGACTCTGCAGCAGGGCGTGGTATTTAGAAGGACCTCGCCTATGCAACACATCTGCAATCAGAAGGGGACTGCCTCTGTGCAGTTTCTTCTCTAGACAGCCTCAAGATTAGACTTCCCAAAAGAATTCCTGAAAGTGCTCAGTAGTGTCCTAACTGTCTCCCCATTGGCTTCAATGGCAAAATTCCCATGAGGTTCAAGGTAACACTGAGCACCTGGGGAGACCCCACCCAAGGGTCTATGGTAAAATAATTCCTATGGGAAAAGACAAAGTTAAAGGTTCAGCCACAGGAAAATGGAACATGATACGGAGTGCTTGATATAATTAAAATTTCTGAGAGAAAGTGACTGTCATGGTATTATGAAATGAGTTACATAGACTTCATTCTTTTAAGATATAAACATCTGGCTATTTACTTGGTATATGGCTTATTTTTCAGAAATGGACGAAACGGTAGTTTGATAACTATGAATTTTTGATGGAGAGTGACTTTCCAAATGGAGAAATGCAACCCACGTAACATTTCTGAGTCTGACTTTTCCTGTAAAAGCAGACATTAAATCCATATGGATCCATAATACACATTCCTTAACAGTGGCACTTTCAACATTGTCTCAACAATTTAAGCTTGTCTCAAAATTGTTTAAAACTTTCTGGAAAATATTCTTCTTTCTTTTATTTCAGTTCTAACTACCTGCATGATTTTTGGTTGTTTTTTCTTAATAACTCTGGATGACATTTGGAGTTCTTTATAAATTTTGCTAACAGATGCTCTCTTGTCTCAAGAAAGTTTTTAAATAGTAACAAGCCAGCTTCCCTTTGCAACCAACCTATGGCTTTGCTGTCCAGAATATTTGAATTTAATACTGAGCCTCGTTACTCTCACTGTTCTCACCATTTTTGTCTAGGCTTCTCTACCACTGCAAGCTGAAAGGTATTGTTTTGGGATTCTTAGTGGTTGAATGATCATGGAGCAGGAAAGACCTCCCAAAATGGTTTAGGAGCAACTGTTGAATCCCTTAAAGAGCATCAGTGCATCATGTAGACCAGATGAGCACTTTGCCATCTATATGGAAGCAGAACATTTTCTTAAGGACAAGTCTAGTTTCACCATTTTGGGGGAATGATCTCAAAGAATTAGAGGATCTGTACCATTAATTCAATTCAGGTACATGAAAGGGAGCATAACCAACACTGATTTGTTTGTTTGTTTGTTTTCCCAAACTTAGAATCACAGAAAAATTTAGGTGGGGAGGTGTCTCGGCAGCCCTGCCTTGAGGTTTGCACCCTAGAACTTGATCTGGTGGTTTGGGGCTGCCCCAGGTGGAAAGTTCCCCACAGTAGGAGATGAACCACCTTTCTGGGGTCTGTCCCATGCCTGTGCCACTCTTTTGGGCAAGAGGTTTTGCCTGATGTCCATACTGAGAAGCGTCTCTCAATTCTCTGTTTCTTTGCAGACAAAAAGGGAGAAGAAGCAAAACTTGGAGATAGTTGGAAAGGATGACAATATTGCATGTACAGATTTGAAACACAGACTTTAAATAAATAAGAGGATAACCAGATACAGAGAGTATGCACTTTAGAAAGTATATCAATGGAGGTTCACACATTCATCTGTTTTCTGTTTTACATATGCTGTTGCAAAATAAGCATTCATCCAGAACAGCTGCTATCAGAGGAGTGCTTTGTGCCCAGGAAAAACTTGGCACAGCATACTGCATGGGTGCCAAACATGACATGACAGTCACGCAATCTGTCAGGATGAAGTTTAGAGGTGTTTGACACAAGCATAGCATTCAAAGATGTTTATTGTCCTCCCCAGTGCACTGCACTGCCATGGGTTGTGTACATGTTTGCTGCCTCTTGAGCATACCGTGTTTATCACATGTTGGGTAAGGTACCCAGTGACTTGACAGGATCATATTGTCTTGACATATTACAAAAAGGAGGGAAAATGTGTCTCCCTGAACTGCAGCGTGAGCGTTCTGCAGCAGATGGTGTGTACATCCTCCCTTAATATAAACGTTTTGCTTGAGGATTTGGGATGGGATTAGAAAAGCCAGTGCTGATCTTTGTAAAGATGCCAGAAGAGCAAGCTTTGTACTTCTGTTAAATATTTAGAGAGGCATGGACCTCCAGGTACCAGTGTGATGGATCTGACAGAAGACTAAGTTGTCCTGTGTCTTACTGAATGATGTGGAGGAGGAACCAGTTCAACCACAGTGAGTTTGGCATATAGAGAAATAGCTGCTCTGCGAAAAGGTGAAAAAAGGCTGGCAGATTCTAATTCCTGCCTCTTTGCTAGAGCAAAGCAAAGGCACAGTCAATGTAGCTATGTCTTCTTGTACCAGTAATGCTCTGCCTGGCTTCTCTGCTGTGCAGCAAACTCTGTCCAGTGTGGGCTTCCCTGTGCTGAGGAGAGAGAGAGGCCATTGCAAATTGGAGAGAGGTGTTTTCATTGCACCTTCTTTGGTGCCCATCACACAACAGACTACAGATTTGTATAAAATTAAGAATTAGACTGAATTCCCAAGTGTAAGCGGTGTAAGTCACATGGTATTTCCTTAGTTCTTCTTAACAGTTGCCTGTTGATAAGAAGGCTATGTGTGACTGTGTGCAGTCACTGCATCACAAAATCTTTGAAAGAGGTTATTATCTACAGGTGAAGGAAGTAATTCCTTTTTCATCACTTTTTCACTGAATTTGATAGGAGTGTCTGTGGCTAGACACATGATTTTTTTTAAGCAGGTTTTATTCTCATGGGTGTTTTGCAAGCTAAAGTCTTTGCCCAGCTTTTGTTTCCAAAGGTGAGGTATATTGACAGAGTGTTTAATTTGGTATATTATGTGTTCTGTTGTGTAATTGTACTCCATACATCTGTGTATTGCAGGGTCAGATGAGTATGCTGGTTATAAATGTGGTTATGATTAGGATTAAACAGTTAAAGCCCAGATGAAAGGTTAAGAATTGTTACTTTTAGTACTGCATGGATGTTTCAGAAGTAACTGCATCCTGGAAGCTCTGTGTATGTGAAACTATCCCATTTAGTCATTTTTAGCTCTCCCTTTTTCTGACTCTGCATCTGCTCTTATTCCAACAGACCCGTCGGAGCATGGTATTTGCTAAACACCTCCGTGTAGTGGGAGATGAGTTTAGAAACAAGTATCTTCAATCCACGGATGAGGCAGACAGGACTCATTACAAGGAGGACTGGACACAGATGAAGGTAAAATCATGACAGTCTGTTTCCCATAACAAATTTTTTTTTTTTAACTTGTGTACTCCTGGCTGTACACTGTAGGGAATGTTGGAAGATACATGTGAATGTAACTCTCCCTGCTCAGATCAAGGAGGATGTGCATTTTCGTACTGTACCCTCTTCCTCCTCTGTGACATGAGTTAACAGAGTCTGTTGAGATGTGGCTACTGGTTCTGGGTGCCAGATTTCTGTTACCCTAATTTCACTAAAGGAAACTTGTATTTCTTCTTGTATTTGGCATCATCTGTGGGTGTAAAGTTCAGCTGCGAACGGCCAGTTGTGGTTTTGGTCAAGGAGAGTGATTTTTGCTTACAAAGATTTTGCTAGTTTCTCTTGTATGATTCAGGCCACCCAAGATAAAAACGTTGCAAGGTGTCCCAAAATACTACTGATTAAAATTAGTTTCTGCAGCTAGAGTAATTCAGTGCCTTATCCAGAGATGAAGCATTCAGGCCTTTTCAGTATGAATGAATTGTGGTGCTCTTAAGTTTTAAAGTTTATTGGTCTTTCTCTCTTAGGTTAAGATGGGGACGGCTCTAGGTGGTCCATACCTTGGGGTACATCTCAGAAGGAAAGACTTCATTTGGGGTCACAGAGAAGATGTGCCTTCCCTGCAAGGAGCAGTAAAGAAAATCCGTAGCCTCTTGGAAATGCATAAACTTGAAAAAGTTTTTGTAGCCACTGATGCTGTCGAGGAGGGTAGGCAGATTATAGTCAGTTTATGATTTTGACGATGAGTGCAGCAATTACCACTTTGTTTTTATAAGTGACTGGAAGTTCATATACTTCCATCATTGAACGGGGAATTGGGTGGCTGTTTCCTTCTAGGTATGGTATCAAACCATTCCTTTGGTATTTCCCATAGGAGGTTTGATTGTCTCTATGATGGGAATTTGGGAATTGAATTTTCCTGTTGCTCCTCCTCTTTCTTCCATCCCACCTTTTTTCTTAGCATTTCAGAGATTCTTGGACATGCTGGTGGGAAGGGTCCTCTGAAGCCTCCCACCCAACCTTCCCCTTGGCTGCCCCCAATGCCAGAGTGGGGTGGACCTAGCTGTGTATGGCCAAGGCTTAGAAACCCCCAAGGGTGGGGTGCAGGGCTGCACCTCCCTCCCAGATCTAGGGATCTGTTTCAATGCATGATGTTAGAATAATGCTGCAGGGCATGGCATCTGTGATAACTAAAATTAGTTTGCTGTCAAGAAATGCCTCTTGGTACACCTACCCTGTAGGATTAGACAGTGAGGCTAGTGGTAGTATCTGTTCTACCCCTTGCAGACTTCCCCACC